TCTTGCTTCACCACAGCCCCACAACACCTCTAAGAGAAAAATGTCACTGTTAGGAAACTGAGGCTCACAGAGGGGAAGTGACTAGCCCACAGTTACACCGCTGGCAAGAGAGAAGCCCGGTTGGTCCAGCGTTAGAGCCCAAGCCCTTAGGCACTGGGCTCCGCTGCCACTCACGGAAAGGCACTCTCTGCAAAGAGCAGGATGGATTAAACCAAAGGCAGAAATTGAATCGTGGAGAAACAGGTGGCTCAGTGGCTGGAAGCTACCACAGGAGCCACTCAGGCAGCGTCACTGACCTGACCAGGTAGGGACTGGACAACGAAGACAAATCAGAAAGAATGGATGGAACCCAGAGTCTGAATTCACGTGGTGGCCCCGAGGAAACACACGTCATTACCAGAGCCATCCAGGAATGCGCAGGTTCATTCCAAAGGGGAGAGGACACCAACACGTGCTGGCCCCTGCCAAGCGCCAGGCCCACCGAGTGCGGGGGTCAGAGTGCAGGCACCAGAGCCAGACCTGGGAGCCTGCCTCTCCAGCCTGTCACTGAACTTGCGGCACCTCAGCTTTCTCACCTGCAGAACGGGGATGCTGCCGGCACAGGATTTGTGCAGGATGAAGGAGTGAAAACACGGGAGCGCCCAGGGCAGCACCCGGCACGGAGAACACACCGAGGAAGCAACGGTGGCTGTGCCCGAGAAGTGAGGACTTTGAACACCATTTAGGGGTAAAAAGTGACAGAGAGACCATGTGAGCTGTCAAGGTCCCAGGTCCAGGATGAGGCAGGGCCTGGGACCACACTCTCAGAGAGGAGATGCAAGCATCCCGGCAGACAGGGCAAGGTGGAGGGAGGGTGCTGATCCCAGAGGCACAGGGGTCAAGCAGGCCCAGCCCAGGTTTTCATCAGGCCTGGATGGGCAAGACCAGAGACTCCCAGCCCACGGCCTCCGCTGGGCAGGCTCTGAGCTGCTGCTGACCAGTTGTCTTAACACTGAGCTTTAAGAATTTCAGCTTATTACACTTTCAGGAGCGGGAAGAAATACAGGGCCATCTCGGGCTGATTTTCCATTACAGTGACGTGGAGTAAGAGTAACTCGCCACACGTCATGTCCAAATCGAGGCTATCTGACCGTCGTTTTTATGAAGCAGAGTGGCAAGCTGTGTCAAGGCTGAGATCAGATCCCTCAGCAGCGTGAAGCTGCTGCCACGGCTTGCAAAGTGTCTTTTGGGAGGCTCCAGGTGGAGCAGTCAGAGGGTTGAGGGGAACGGGGACAGCTGCTGACAAGCAATGCCCCAGGAAGGGTTCTTGGGGTCCAAGCTCCAGCCCGGGCAGCTGGGGTGGCCGAGAGGATCCCAGGGGGACCCCCTCTCAGCTCCATATCATCATCTGTCCACGTTGACCATGACCTCCACAGGGTGGGGAGGGCTAGGGGAGGGAAAGGTCCCCTTGAATTCCAGCCC